ACGACGAAACTACACAAAATATTCACTCACCCATTCATCTAGCTGTGCAACCCATAATGTTTCTTCCAATGAATTTTCAAGTATGTAATCAACAAAACTGTTTTCACTCTAGTTAGTACTGGTAAAATGTCCTCCTACATCAAACTATCATCAAAATCTTTAGACTATCTGCATTCACTGCAGACACGCCCTCTTTTTCTCTAAAGACAATCTGAGATTGAAAATTGCCTGTCAATATTTCAAATTTAGAATAATTTTTACTTGATAAATATCACCATTGCTTATTTTATTATTTTAAGTAATTGGAGCGTTAATTAAAGAATTATCAGTCACCAAATATTAAAAAGATAGTTACTTGTTATTCGATTGAATTGATACATAGTTTTAATCGCGTTAACCATATTAGGTAATGTCTGGCCTGTTTCTACCATAGATTCTAGTGATTTTGATGATCACATGATGTGCCGTGTGTGAAGGGTTGTCAAACCAAGCGGCAACTAGACGAATAGAAACCTAACAATGTATCGTGGGAAAAAATTTTGTTTGATGTTATAAATAAGCAATTATTGTAACGCAATAATTCAAAATAGCTTAGGTATAATATGGATTGCTGCCAAGCTCGTAAAAACAGTAAGTATAATTATATAAATATATTATATTTATATAATAAATATATAATATAAAGTATACAGTAAGCTCTTTTTATCACAATTTTTTCACATACATCCGATGGGTCGACATAGATGCGATAGAGACAACCATAGCCGTAAAATACAACGCGAATTAAGTTAGTACCATGTTTGTTACCATGGTAACCATGTTTTTCATATAAAATGAATTAAGAAGAACAAATACCGTACTGACTTTACTCGACGTTTTATAAGGCTGTATGTCGTAACAACTTCATAATTATTATCTTAATTGGAAAATATAAAATTCAATAAACATACAACAACAATAACAATTCAAGATTTTAGGAAATTTTAAATAAATAAAACGAAAAATACATTATAAATCCTTTACATTAAAAATTAAACAAGTAAAAAAGTCATTCAAATAAAATACAGTTTTGATTTTTTAAATCTGTTACAAAGATGCATGACGTCATTGAATTTGACGTCATTTGAGCTATTGGGTATTCTGTGATATTTGTCTTAGTGTTGTATTATTGCAATGTATTTCATTATGACAAATGAATATCGATGGTCTTGACATTACCCTGGTTTATACCATAGATTGGTTATCCATCATATCAGGATTAATAATCTTCGTCGGGTATTCATTTGTTAATATTTAAAAAAAAAATGCTAAAGTAAGAGTTGCCGAGGGAGAGTTGTTTTTTAACAGTTATTTTCATGCGTTTTTCGTCCTTCGTAAATAAAAATAAAATCACATGTATCACTTATTCCACGTCATTAAATTTGAATTTCTAGGCATCCCTACTCATCGGCAAAGAAGATAGTGTAGGCCGAGAGAAAAAGCCGGCGTAAAAAACTCTCGGTACTCTTTTAAAACAGCAAATCATCAAAAAACACTTATTTAAAACAAATATCGCAAATTAATTAGAAGTAGCCTGTCTAGCACTAGTCCCAGGCCCTTTTATCAACTAGATAATAATCGTTGACTTTATAGTAAGCCTTTTTACACAGCTTTTCTTTAATACATTTCTTAAATTTATTGAAAGGCAGAGATAAAAGAGCCTCTGGGTTTTTTTTAAAGAAGAGTATCCCTTTCCCCAAAAAGAATTACTAACTTTAGATAGTCTAGTACGGGGAAATTGCAGCCTGCGTTTGTTCCGTGTATTTACATTGTGCGTATGTTCTATTCTAGTAAACTTATCACTATTTTTGTATACATACATAATATTTTCATAAATATATTGCGAGGGAAAGGTAAGTATATTAATTTCCTTGAATTTATCTCTAAGAGATTCCCTACATTTTAAATTAGAGATTGCAATTAGTTTATTATTGCAAAACTAATTAGTTTTTTTAACCATTATTAGTAAACAAAATGTTTCCTAAATAAATTAATAATATTTTTATTTATGTTTGAAATCTATGGCAAATAACAAAAAATCGTACTAATTAATCATGTTAAGAATTATAAAATAACAAAACCGGAAGCAGAAAACATCGTGTGCTAACCTTAGTGGCGATACATATTTTGAAATCTATCAAAGAAAATAATCTTAATCTTCTCTTGAGGTCAAAGATATGTGTCGACAAAATTTCTATATCAATAATCGTGTCTAAAAAGTATATTCACGTGCCTTGTGACATATATGTGTTTGACAACGTACGAAGGCAAAAATTATATTTTTCTATTGCTTAGGCAATTGATCACATTTTAGATCAAGAGGCCGGCAACGCACTTGCAAGCCTTCTGGCAATGTGAGGGTCTATAGGCGGCGGTATCACTTAATATCAAGTGAGCCTCCTGCCCGTTTGATTATTACTTTAAAATAATTCGGAGTATAAATAAAACATCTATGCAAAATTTATTCTGCTCCGATCATCTAAAAGGCAATAAGCTTTTATAATATAAAGGGAAAAAAAAAAAAAAAAAAAAAAAAAAAAAAAAAAAAAAAAAAAAAAAAAAAAAAAAAAAAAAAAGGGGGAAAAAGGGGGGGGGGGGGGGGGGGGGGGGGGGGGGGGGGGGAGGGAGGGGGGGGGAAAGGGGGGGGGGAGGGGGGGGGGGGAGGGGGGGGGGGGGGGGGGGGGGGGGGGGGGGGGGGGGGGGGGGGGGGGGGGGGGGGGGGGGGGGGGGGGGGGGGGGGGGGGGGGGGGGGGGGGGGGGGGGGGGGGGGGGGGGGGGGGGGGGGGAAAAAAAAAAAAAAAAAAAAAAAAAAAAAAAAAAAAGAGGAAAAAAAAAGGAAAAAAAAAAAAAAAAAAAAAAAAAAAAAAAAAAAAAAAGGGGGGGAGGGGGGGGAAAGAGGGAGAAAAGGGGGGGGGGGGGGGGGGGGGGGGGGGGGGGGGGGGGGGGGGGGGGGGGGGGGGGGGGGGGGGGGGGGGGGGGGGGGGGGGGGGGGGGGGGGGGGGGGGGGGGGGGGGGGGGGGGGGGGGGGGGGGAAAGAAAAAAAAAAAAAAAAAAAAAAAAAAAAAAAAAAAAAAAAAAAAAGAGTAAAAAAAAAAAAAAAAAAAAAAAAAAAAAAAAAAAAAAAAAAAAAAAAAAAAAAAAAAAAAAAAAAAAAAAAAAAAAAAAAAAAAAAAAAAAAAAAAAAAAAAAAAAAAAAAAAGGGGGAAAAAAAGGGGGGGAGGGGAAAAAAAAAAAAGGGGGGGGGGGGGGGGGGGGGGGGGAAAGGGAAAAAAAAAAAAAAAAAAAGGGGAAAAAAAAAGGGGGGGGGGGGGGGGGGGGGGGGGGGGGGGGGGGAAGGGGGAAAAGGGGGGGGGGGGGGGGGGGGGGGAAAAAAAGGGGGGGGGGAAAAAAAAAAAAAAAAAAAAAAAAAAAAAAAAAAAAAAAAAAGGGGGGGGGGGGGGGGGGGGGGGGGGGGGGAGGGGGGGGGGGGGGGGGGGGGGGGGGAAAAAAAAAAAAAAACCCACCTATTAAAAAAAAAAAAAAGGAAAAAAAAAAAAAAAAAAAAAAAAAAAAAAAAAATTAAAAAAGAAAACAAAATTTTTTAAAAATTTTTTTTTGGAAAAAGGGAAAAAAAAAAAAAGGAAAAAAAAAAAAAAGCAAAAAAAAAAAAAACATTTTTTAAAAAAAAAAAGGAAAAAAAAAAGGGGCAAACGCACGGAGAACGGAAATAACTGCTAAAGTTACGATTAAAAATAAATATTAAGACAAAAACGCAGCCTAAAAGAGTTTTGCTATTGATTATTCATGAAAACAAGTGAATAACTAATTGTTACTAACAGCTGTAGCTAATGTTCAGGCTTTTTATTTCACGTGTAACCTAGGGTGACTTTTGAAGTTAGCAAGTGAAATAGATTGAGCTTGAATTGATTGATTGGGCATACAGTGAAAATAACATTTTTCAATGTAAAGATAACTACAACATAATTACCTCGTTCTCTTTATCATCTCAGCTTCAGATTTCTATTCAGTTGCAAGCGTAGTGTAATGTGCGGATGTTAACTGATCTTGAATGTAGCTTGAATATTGCAACAGTTTTGGTCATTCTTGAATATTGCTTTCGGTATTAATACTTTTTAGTGTGTAGTTGCAAAAATCACTTTCGACAAACTTTTCCTCTAAACTATAAATAACTATAAAGTAGGCTTAAGACAATTATAAACCTCCTTTTAAGGTTTTTTTATATCATTTAAATAACACGCTTAAGCGCTCTTTTATTACGAAGAAAGGTCGGCAACGCAACACGTTAACCTTCTGGCAGTGTGCATGAGCTGCCGTATCATTTTACACTTAATACTTATTTACCTCCTATTCTATAATGAAAAAGAATTCAAAAATATTTCCATCAATAAATCAACAAGATTTTAGTTAAAAAAATTCTAATTTACAAATTATTAAGTATAGAAAACTTTTTATCACAATTAAAACTTAAAAAATTAAAATAACATTCGTTTCTTGAATCCAAAGTTTTTCTCGGAAATCTAAAGGTTTAGATTTGTTTAATAATGAACAAGACTTAAAAAAGTTCGTTCGCCAAAGAAGTTCACTTCTGACATGTGTACTGTGTACGCACTTTTTCATTATTTAAAAATAAATATGTATTAATAAAAATATATTGAGACAATAATGGGTTTACGTATTTGCACTCTGCACTATTCGTTGTTTTGCAATTTCAAAGCGCCATATTGAAAGTATATCCTATTGACCTTTCTTCAAACACTTCATAGAGATCGTAAAATATGATAGTAAAAAAAAACGTACACCAAATTGTTAGCTTTATCAATGGAATAAGTGCTATTTCCGCGTCACATAACTTTTCTCTATCGAAGACAATTTAATGCATGATTAGTTTGTCAGTCAGGTACAAGTGAAGGCTGTAGTCTTTATTCGTTATTTCTTTACCATAACGAGACAACGTGTTAAAAATGTTGACGGGATGGAGGCTCGTGGTGTCAAAACGTAAGTTAATATTAATTATATTTGTTTATAAATAAAAAGTTTAATTGAAACTTTATTTTTAAACAATAAAAAATATTTAAAAATATTTTACATTTAATGAGTACTATTTATATAAATGCTTTTTTAAATGTATATGTATTATTGACAATGAAAGTTCAACAAAAAAAAACTATTTATCGAAACTCCACAGCTGCGATTTATATTGTTAATATTATATATAAAAGAGATTATTGTTTGTTTGTTTGTTTGTTGTTGGTTTTTGTTGCTTGAATTAACATAAAAGCAGGTAATTATTTCCGGCCAATGATTTAAATTTTCAGCTATGAATAAACTTAAGTAAATATGCATAAAAACTATGTACTACTGTTACGTATAAAACGTGATTGTTCTTAATATAGTCAACACGATTCTCTATTGAAATTATATGGTCTTCTTAAATAGGACTCACATTATTATATATCATTCCCGCAGATGTTTTGTTTTGCATATTTTCTATATAACTGGTTTTAATTGCATTCTGTCACAAGAGTGTTATTACCGTTTCCTTTTTTTATGAAATAGGAGGCAAACGGGCAGGAGGCTCATCTGATGTTAAGTGATACCGCCGCCCATGGATACTCACATTGCCAGAAGGCTTGCAAGTGCGTTGCCGGCCTTTCAAGAATTGGTTTGCTCTTTTCCTGGCCCTTAGACCCGTAGAATTGGATCGGAAATACTTCAGTGGGCAGCCGGTTTCACATAGTGGTGGTGCGCGGCAAAAAACTGCCTTAGAAAACGTTCAGTTGTGGAACGACGGACGTCGAGGTGATACGGATGGTATTTTGTATTTTGCCTTGACGTCCGATTATTAAACTCAGCTGCAGGTATTAGACCGAACAACTCCTCTGAACACTCTCCTTGACTTCTTTTCTATGTGTCCCCGTAGGTAATCAGCTTGTGAACACATGCTCCTCGATTTAGGGTATTTTTAACTTCGTCTTAGTAAGTATTAATTGCGCATAGAAAAAACAGTTCAGCGCCGAGGTTAAGAGAGTTAACGGGGGTCAAATGGTCTTGAGAGTGAGACTAGAGGCGTGCGACGTTATACGACGTTGCAATAAAACCGTCATTATACTTAGTACTACCTATGATCAGAAATCATGTCTCATTCATGGTTTGTTAACATTTGTTTTTTCAGTATTCATAATACCTCAGCGATATGTGTTAGCAATAATGGGATTGCTAACCATGGCAAATGCCTTCACATTACGTCAATGTTTGAATCTGGCGATCACACAAATGGTGAAGAAGAAAGCCGTACCGGAAGTAGGAAGTGTGAACTATGATCCGGATGCGTGTCCGGATTATAACGTCGTAAACTCTACCAATGAGATAGGAGATTATTTAATAGATGACGGTGTAAGTATAAACTTACTATTCCTAAAATATACAGTAAGACCTCCTCCCAATATATTTCTCTTTTAACCTAATGCGCATACACCTTTATTTCTCGTAATATGTACAACGTAGCAAACAAGTTTTGACATTTTTTTATAATGCAAGGGTATGGGTATAATATGCATATTTTCGTAACAGTACAAGGAAAATGTAACTAAAAACCCCATTTTTTTCCATACAAACAAATTGAGATAAAATTCTAGTTTGTTAAATTTAAAATAATATTTACGACCGAGACGTATCGATATATCTTTGTAATAAATTCAATAGGTTCACGTTTGATTAAATTGGGTTAACCTACGCTATTAAACTGAATGTAAAAACCATATATAGCAGCATATGATTTAGTTATCTTTACTCAAAAGATAGTTACATTCCTAGATGTGCAAAGCACGAAGTGTTGCGCGGCGCGCGACTATCTTTGAGCTGTCGGCGACATCAATAAATTTTGTACATTGTTTGAAATTGGTTATAATAGGATAACCTATCATAACAAATGAGTCGATCTACATTATGTTGAATATATGACGATTATTTTGTGTATGGAAATTATTAATATTAATTAAAAAAAATCTACCTCATCTTTTGATTAAATGTGCTTTCTAGCCTTTTTATCGATAGGGTTTTAACTCCTTTTTGCGCCACTTCACATTAACGGTTAACTTTTAGTTATGTTTTAGAAAATTCTATTTGTTGTTAGCAAACATTAATTCTCATTTAGTAGTATCTATAGTTTATTAGTAGTAGTACTAGGTTCTTAAGCTCCTACCACTACTATCACATCTCTTATTAATTCATATTGGGATTTTACAAATCATAACTTCTTTATTCGTGTTCTCAGAATTTATATGCGCGCGTTAGGGATTGTCAATGGAACTATTCATTATAATTTTACTACTACTGTACTTACGTACAAGTTTGTAGTAAAAATGAATAGAAATAAAAAAAGGAACAAATTTTGCAAATAGCTTAAGGTCATTCAAACCTTAAAATGTAACATGGTAACGGGATAAACTACGAGTCTTTGGGTAACGCTAACGATTGACGATTGACTATGTGGAGATTTGCGATGCGTCTAGTTTGTAGGTTTCAGACATTCGAATTCATTGTGACTTGCTTTTAATTAAATTAAAAATAAGTCACATTTGGCATTTTAGGATAATTATAGAATTTTACTATAAATTTTACTATGCTTACTATAACTAAAAATTGATATAAGTAAGAAGATCTTTTTCTTTGCACTGTTATTAGATAGCCCGTATACCAATTGAACCATGAAGGTGGCTATGAATTTAATAATTAATTCGGCACGCATTGATTGCATGACTGATTTATGGGCCTCTGATTCAGCTTTCTATAAGTTTTTGTAAATAAGCAATTCTGTGCTAAATTGTAATTGCGATAATTGCGCTACACCTTGGTTACACTGGACCTTTTAATAAGACCATTCACATAGTCCGCCACATCATTTAAAAAAGTTATATGTAAACTAGCTGGCCCGGCAAACATTTGTTTTGCCATATATATTATTTCTAGGAAATATTATTTTAGTTCAATAAAAATATCTATCTAAAATAATAAAAAATAAGGGTCGATCGTAGAGGGGTGAAAATTAGGGGTTGTATCTATTTTTGTATGCTGTATCATAAAAAAATAAAAAAAATAAAAATCTAAAGCATAAAAAAAAATTTTTGGGGTGGACATCCCTTATCACTTAGGGGATTGAAAGATAGATAGTAGCCGATTCTCAAACCTACTGAATATGTATATACAATTTGATAAAAATAGGTCAAGCCGTTTCGGAGGAGTATGGTAATTAACATTGTGACACAAGAATTTTATATATAAGATATATATGAATAATAACAAATACAATTTATAATATGTTTTTAGCAAACTTCCATATTATAGTAATAAGATTCTCCTTACAATGCCAAATAAAATTACTTTTATCTATATAGAATATATAAACATCTGTGCCACGGTTATAATACATACATAATTATGCAGGCTATTCGCGCTAATTATTTAGGTTAACTATTAAAAGTTTTATCCTCATACAGTCAACCAATGTAAATTTTGATAAAGGGCTAGTTGCACAACGGTACTTTAGTTTTGATAATCAAAAACAAATAAAATGGATAAGTGACTTTGAGTGGAAGTTCAACGTGGCACATGTGTGTGATTAACTTGGAATCTTTGGAAATCGTAGTCTTTTACGTTGTTAATTAATTGCGATTAGTCCAATACATAATGACACTTATTATGGTCTGTTTCACAATGTATGGATAAAGTACCAAATAGCTATGCAACACATAAATTATTTCGAAGATAAATTGTGCTATTTGACATTCATCGGACTCATAACTTATGATGGACTTTATGTGACGAATAGCGTTATCTGACAGTCGTGAAACGCAACAATATCGTTTATCCTACCAATAAGTAATAAATAGCTAATTTGGAACTTATGTAGAACTTATCCGTACATTGTGAAACAGTCCCTTAGAGTAATAAGTAATGTACGAGAGTAGATTTAAACTTACAAATACATATCTAACTGAAGAGTGGGGTGGTCTTTGTTATGGGATGCTAATTGTGTAGATATGTTAGCCGCGTCTCACCTCCCTCGGAAAATAATAAATATCAGAGTCTTCCTCTCAAATATAAGAGTCTTTTCTCTGATTTTTTCCTATGGAGTAGAGTCTCTTCGGCCGTGGGGTTCAAGTGCACAGGCGCTAATTAAAGATTTAGGCGCCTGGTAGATAGTACCGGTGACCCAGAGGTGGTGCTTTCCTTTCTCAACTATTAAGTATAAGCAATACAGTGATAAAATTCTGCCAGCGTTAAAGGTACAATGCCACAGGGTCCAAACTTTTTATTTTTTGTTTACTTTTCTTTTTATCAATTTTTAATTATTATTATTATTATTACCAACGTAAGGGTACTGATATTGTAAACAACCTTATCTTCCTCATTCAACTTATAAGAAAGGTTACTTCAAATTTTAAATAGTCCCTTGACATCAAAATTTTGAATCTGTTTCCTTCCTGTTTCCGGCAAAGTAGACTATCAACTTTAATTAACGATGCACCTTGTCGATTTTGCGTCTCAGACGTGCTGAATTCCGCAGATAATTTTCCTTTACCTTCATATGACGCATAGCAGGTATAATTGCGAAAATATATAAATATTGCATAACCAAAGTTCAAACGCTTGACCAAAGACGTGACCCACGCCTTATTCATTATACGATATTGAATATTCATTCATGATCATGAGTCATAAACTTTTCAGTCAGTGAAATTCGAATGGAGTGAAGCTACCCAAGGACTTATACTTGGTGCATTCTACATTGGTTACATAGCTACCCACATACCAGGTGGAATGCTGGCAGAGAAGTTTGGTGGGAAATGGGTAGTTGCTCTCGGTCTTCTCTCAACTGCTATATGTACATTTATAACCCCGTATGCAGTGAAAACTGGAGGTGCAGTTGCTCTTATCATTTTGAGGGTACTCGAAGGTATTGGTGAAGTAAGTATATTTTTCTCAGAAGAAATTCATAAGGAATTACTAGAACCATGTGTACCATAGAAGGCAAAAAAGGCATATTATATGTTGATTAGAATACTTAACAATACTCACTTGTGTGGTGAAGGATAACATCGTGAGGAAACCGGCATCCAAAAAGTCGACAGTGTTTGTCAGGCACAGAAGGTGTTTTACCTGCTTGCCAATTAAAAAAATACAAATCTAAAGCCTACACCTTAAGGGTCTAACTCACCAATATCCAAAACATACTTTGTCTAGTGCTTAACCAGTTTTAGATTTGGAGTTTAGTTCCGTTGACCACAACTTTCGACACTTAAATTATTTATTTATTTATTACAGAAATACCTACATTATCCTTACAGACTATGCCAATACGATAATGTCGTGAAACATTAAATTAAACATAATAAAGTAGGTACATATATAATATTAAACACATAATATACACAATATCGCTACTGTGAATTCACTCTGCGAACATATAAATATGTCGATAGTGTCGGAGACAGCATTCAGTAGGCGCAACGTCTTTGAAAACGGGGATCTTTGCAACAGACTGGTTCTTGCCCTTGGTATCGCAAATAACCTAGGCCTTCGCCGTCGCACATATGCCATAGGTACTAAGAAACCCAGTTCTTGGAGTACACTTGGGTTGCACACTACACCCCTCAAGACTTTCAGTACGTAGTAGGCCAACTGTAAGTCCCGTCTGGTTTCCAATTTATTGTACCCCACCATCCCTAAGACAAATAATGTCGGGTACATTAAAGGATAGTAGGGATAGACGCCATACAGTCTGCTATATAGGTATCGTGTAAATTTTTCTGTATGCGCTCCAACATAAGGCAGTATTTAGCTTCTTGCGGAGCCCAAACAGACGAATTACACTCTAACATGCTTCTTACTAGCGCGTTGTACAAGCTTGAGATGGCTTTAATAATAGTGAACGTTGTTGCCCTTCGAAGCACAAATCCCATTCTTGCGTATGCTTTCTTACAAATGTCCACTACATGATTTCGGAAATTCAGTTGGGCATCCACTCGCACTCCTAAGTCTCTTACTGACGTTTCCCGCTTGAGTAGCACCCCCGACACATTGTACTCATGATGACGAGGCATTTTGGCACGACTAAATGTCACCATGGCACATTTGTCAATATTTAATTGGAGCTTATTTTTATTGCTCCACTCACATACTCTATCTATATCTCCTTGCAAGCGTTCACAGTCGTCCACCTCTTGGAATGACAGGAGTCATTTTAGATCGTCTGCAAAAAGAAGGCATCTAGCATGTCTTATTACTTCTGGTAAATCGTTCACCATTATTGCAAACTGCAATGGCCCTAGATTGCTGCCCTGACTCACGCCTGATTTAGTGTACCTAGTATGGTTCCGACTGACATCCTTTGTAATCTACATACTGCTGGCGATCTCTCTGATAATTAGCAAAAAAATGTAATAGTTTTGGAGTGAATCCAATACTGGCCAATTTCGCCAACAGTATGTCATTATCCACGACATCAAACGCCTTCCTGTAATCAAAGTATGCAGCATCTACCTGCAATCCGGCGTACATAATAGGAATAACATAATTAATAGCGTTTAGTAAATTGCTGCTTGTACTACGCAAGGGCCTAAAACCATGCTGGCAGTCTGACAAGTACGGTTCTACTTGTTTTAAAATGCTTCGGTGCAGAGCTCCTTCGAATATTTTAGCGGGAGTCGATAATATAGCCACCGGTCTATATGCTTCCACCGAGTCTTTTCTATCGCTTTTGGGTATAGGAATCACTCTTGTGATTTTCCAGTAAGTAGTATAATTATATAATCATTAAAGTGATTATATAATTATACTAGCTGATCCGGCAAACTTTGTTTTGCCATGTATATTATTTCAAGGATTTTCAGTTCAATAAAAATAACTATCTACTATAATAAAAAATAGGGGTTGATCGTTGAGGGGTGAAAATAAGGGTTGTATGTATTTTTGTATGCTGTATCATAAAAAAATAAAAACAAAAAATGTTGTCTGAGAAATAAAAAAATATTTAGGAGTGGAACACCCTTAACATTTAGGGGGATAAAAATCGATGTTGTCCGATTCGCAGACCTACAAATACATGCACACAAAATTTCACAAAAATCGGTCGTGTCATTTCGGAGGACTTGAATTACAAACACCGTGACACGAGAATTTTATATATTAGATATAAGATATCATAATACAAATATTATTTAAAAAGAGAGACTTACAAATAATAATTGATAATAAAATTAAACATAAATATTGTACTATTAGCTAATATTTTTATTGTATATAACTTATTTTCAAATAATTTAATAACACGATGTACATAATAATCTCCTCTACATTTTCTCACTAAGTGAATGTAATTCTTTGAGAAATAAAGTATCTTCGATTTTCTTAACACTAAAAGTTTTGACTTGTTCAGGGACCCACAATGCCTGGTTTGATGTTAATGATATCCAAATGGGCACCAAAGACAGAGAGATCTGTAATAGGAGCTATTGTGTTTGGAGGATCACAAATCGGGAACGTTGCTGGATCTTATTTCTCCGGTCTTATTATGCACCAGAGTAGCTGGGAGAACGTCTTCTACCTTTTCGGAGGTGTCGGCTTAGCCTGGTTTGCTGCTTGGGTATGTATGAAATCACGTCCAATAACGTAATTAGAATTAGCTGACTATTTATTTATAGGCAATTAGGTGATCATTATTTGTCTATGATTGTTGGTTTTACTAATATTCATATTTTGATTTGCTTAAAATCAAACAAGCTCATATATCAATTTATTGTCAAGCACTATCATTGGCAGTATCTGTGTGATCCATCATTTGTAATCTACGCCTGTAGAATAGTTGTTTTTCATATTCTACATTAAAACAATTAGATTTTCTGGGAATCAATTTTTTGGTAGGAAACGAAAGCTCCATTCTAGGTCTGGGTATGTCGACGATGCTTGGTTGCTAGACGTGTCTATATATATTAATTGAAAAGCCTAAAGATTGGGTCTCGCCACTAGTCACTAGGCTTAAACTCATAAATATATGATAGTGCGTGGCACACAGATTACATTAATACAACCTATATTATTGGCATCCTAGAGTTTATAAGATATTTTGCTAATTAATATTTCTTTTCAGATTATACTCTGCTATAGTTCTCCGAATACACATCCCTACATATCTGATTGTGAAAAGAAGTACTTGAACGAAAATGTTGAATCTCTTTCAAATAATGAAATCAGATTAAATCCAGTTCCATGGAGAGCGCTGGTCAGATCGGTCCCTCTTTGGGCCCTGATTGTAGCTGGTGTAAGTATTGACTTTATACATTTATGCAGTAACAATACTTAAGTGAACACAAATATACTGAAGGTTATTGCAATACCTTTTTGTAACAGTTTTTAATGAAATTTATTTACATAATTTTTAACAAAAAAACATTTATTATTTAGTAAACACCCGTAAACATTAAAGTAAATAAAGGCTACATAAATTTTCTGTATTTAAAAAATGTAATTTCGTTGTTATATAATTGTTTGTATGGAGTTTACAATTATAATTGCTTTGATATGAAAGATGAAGATTTTAAATGTTTCGTAAATTGAAATTCTTAACGATAAAGATGTTTGAATATAATCATAGCAATAAAAAAATTCGTATCTTCACTTATATTTATGCAAACATTGGTATCTTTTTTAGAAGAAGATATATCTTGATAAATATAAATAAATTACGTGTCACGTTGTTTGTCCGCTATGGACTCCTAAACTACCGAACCGATATCAATCAAATTTTCACACCGTGTGTAGTTTGATCCAACTTAAAAGATAGGATAGCTTACATCTCAATTTATACCCGCAATATTATTTTATTGCAAAATATTTGTTTATTATTTGATAGTCACAATTCTAACAGATGGCGCTGTGTTGAAAGTACCAACGTTTCACATAAGCTACAATTTAATGGCATAACCACCAAAAAAGCATGGTGGTCCCCATGACTGGTGTTCTCCTACCGTTTCCCTTGAATAGTTTGCTACTATGTAATACATATAACAAAAACCTTAGCCACAGCAACGCTTGGCCGGTCTGCTAGTAAAAATATAAAATCTTCTTCCAGATTGGTCATGATTGGGGTTACTACACAATGGTCACCGACCTACCTAAATACATGACAGATGTATTAAAATTCGATATAAAATCAACTGGAATACTTTCCTCAATGCCATATATCGCGATGTGGTTTACATCAGTATTCTTCGGATTCCTCAGTGATTTTGGTATAAATAGAGGCATCTACAGTTTACAGAATGCAAGAAAAATATTTACTACGATTGGTATGTTTCACTTTAGTTAAAACTATTTCCTTATCCCACCTACAATGTAACTTTTCCGAGATATTTATCAAACTCCACCTGCAGCTAAGATAACTTTGCTTGCGCGAATTGGTGGCTGTTCCAATTTTAAACTTAGACCGGGGTGCCTTAACTTGAACTTGTTTTATGTAGGAACATTTTTATTCATCCATTTGCTGATATTCAAAGATATATCGTGTAGGTATCGTTAGTAAGCAAGAGAGTGTTGTACGTTAGACCAGTGTTGGCCTAGTGGCTTCAACGTGCGACTCTCATCCCTGAGATAGTAGGTTGGATCCCCGACTGTGTATGGACTTTCTTTCTATGCGCATTTAACATTCGCCTAAACGGTGAAGGAAGGAGTGAGGAATCGTGAGGAAACCAGCTTGCCTTAGACCCAAAAACTCGACAGCATATGTCAGACACAGGAAGTGATCACCGAAGTCAAGTTTCAGTGTTACAAATACTCCTATCAAAAACTGAAACGAGGTATCGAAAGCTGAATCACGGCTAGAAGGAACAGACTATTTACATAAATTTGAAGTTCATATATGTGTCCATGCACGTGTATCAGGCACGGATTTAAATACCTACATTAGTGAAGGTTTTAGCTTTGAATATGGAAAAGAACTTGAAAAAAAAAGAAATATATAACCTCAAACTTGTTGGTTATTGTAACGGAATTTTTCGTAACGTTCGTTCGTTATTCTAATTCATGAACACTTTCATTTTTCAGCTGCCATCGGACCTGGTATATGTATAATTTTAGCTTCATATTCTGGCTGTAACACCACCCTGGCTGTGGTTTGGTTCGTAGCTGCTATGGCCTTTATGAGTGCATATTACAGTGGAATGAAAATTAACGTTCTAGACATCACACCCAACTATGCGGGTACTACGACAGCCATTGTCAATGGAATATCCTCTATATCTGGTATTGTTTCGCCATATCTGATTGGACTTCTAACACCAAATGTTAGTATCTACCGAATTGCAAATGATTTGCTCGTATCGTATAGTAATTTATAACGTTGCGTTAAAAAAATTAATTAAAAATTATTTTTCAGTCTACCCTCAAACAATGGCGAGTGGCATTTTGGGTGTGCTTTGTGGTGCTATTCGTAACGAATTTCGTTTTCGTTATCTATGGTAAGGGACAACAAGAATGGTGGGACGACGTCAAGTTAAATGGATATCCGGCGGGGTGGAAGCACGGGCCTTTGCCAACGAGAGAAAATGATTCAGAAACACCAGCGAAAAAAATAAAAGAAAAACTAGAACTGTGATAAGTTTTTTGTGTTTGTGATATTCTAGTTTCTTTATTAATTTATTTCGTTTAATTACTCCTGACCACTCCGACACTTCTGTTTAAAAGTGAAAATTGTTAATAGCTCACGTTGAATGACGTTAAGATAGAGGATAATTGTCCTTGGAGTAATAGGTGTCAATTGTGCAATGTTTTATAAAAAAAATTATAAGACGTAGGTATAAGCTCGATCGATATCATTTTTGTAATGAAATTTGATTGAACTACTTTTATCTATTTTGTGCAGATGCCTTGAACATTAGTTTAGTATAAATAGTAAAATTTAATTTATTTTTAATTATTCTGAATAATAAACCAACGTTTATGTCTATATTACTCGTATAAGTGTGGCTATTAGTAATAAATTAAAATATAATCAAAATTGGAGTTAATGCTATTTGTGTGACGTTTTGAAATTCGAACACCATAAATGATTCTTTTTTTAAATTATTAATAAGTACTTTTTATAAATAATTATTAACAAATGCCGCTAATCCTGACGTCTTTATCTACGGTTTTACCATAACAAATAATAATTTAGTTTCTCTTCGTTCCTCTCTGCTATACGCAAATAATAATTTATTTAAAAAAAACCCTGCTATGTGTTGAAATTAAGTTGTATTATTTTTATATTAAGTTTTTATGTATGTGTACCTGACTTTGAATTTACTTTATATTTTGTCTTATTAAAATATTTTTTAATAATTGTATTTTAATATAGTTTTATTATTATTATTAGCCGGACCGTCGATGTATAATCGACGGTCCCTACGTACAAAGCGTCATGTCAAAAATAGAGGTTTTCAGAAGAGCGTCATAACGTTCACATTTTCATATTAATTTTTTCTGAAATGATTTATAACATATTTTATGATTAACCATTTGTACATTTGTACACGTTTTCATGAAAAACTATAGATACTGTTTCTACATTATAAATTTAATATAACGCTGTCGGTCACGTCTAAGTTAACGGTTTATACGCAGGAGATATCAAATCAATGATATCAACTAGTTTTTCTTTAAATTATGTTTTAAAACATGTACTTATGTTATGATAATGAAAGTACGACATGAATATTCTAAGATTTTTACCCTTTAAAGTAAAAAAATATACTTCTGTGGACATATCTCTATATACGTGATTATTTTTTATTAGAGTATTAGTGCTTTAGGGGAATATGAATAACGACATGTACTGAATTAAAATAATGATCAGAATGATTTTTATGAATAAAGAAACAATTTTAACTCAATAGAATACGTTTAGTTTTCAATAAACATCTTATCAACTTTTTTAAAGAGGCTCAATTAAATAGGAACTCAAAATAGAAAATAACGGTGCAGTTAACGCTTCACAATCAACTATTCTAAAAAGAGATTAACAATAAACTATTATATTATTTTATTCATCTGAAGATATTACTAATCGAATTATCATCACAGCGTATTCAGACGGATTAGTAATATAAATAATAAAATAAAAAAAAGCCTTTTTATTTCTTGCAAAAGAACAAAGTAAACTTAATACTATTTTTACACATATATTTTTAAGAAAGCAAATTACAGTTTTATTTTTTCGTAATTTTCTCTAATCTATTACCCAATTATTAATTGCAAGAACCCTTCCGCAGGTGTAGGCCTCCTCCAGGGATCTCCAGGTATCTCGATTTTGGGTGAGCTGCATCCAGCTCGAGCCAGCCGTTTGAGCAATGTCGTCCGCCGATCTCGTGAGCGGTCGTTCCTCTGTTTCGTTTACCAATAGGGCCACTTCACCTGGTCACCTAGTGAAATAGGAGCATGCACTTACATTCTCGTGGGAACAACACGCAAACACATAGTCGAAATAACTAACATCACCGCATACACGAATTCAAGTACGACCAGTCACCAAAAGTAGCACCCGTTCACGAGTATGATGCATGGCCCCTTCGCCATATTTTAGGGAGAGAGACAACCCGACGCATAATAGTTGGATGATTTTGGTGAAAACCTCTCAAATCTTTAGAAAAGACACCCATGTCTTGATCTTACTTATCAATAGCAGATTGTATAAAAGTATTGCTCACAGAAAGTATATTTTTTAACATCGTTTTACAAACCAACATATTTACTTTGTTGCCGGAATAAAATAAAGAAACAGATAAAAGTGGCATAAAAAACTTAAAAACATTTATTCTTTTTGAATTCTGGGTCCATTGCTTTTTTTTATTTGCTATGACTCGCAATCAACCACTGACAAGAATGATCCCCTAGATTACAAAATAAATCGAATAAGTTTTGACGTGCTAGCATACTGAAACGAATTTAAAGTAGTATAAGAGATAGCAATATCCATTAATAGTTTTGTTGCTCATGTTTCACAGTAATATTGTGATATTATTAATGCAAAATAACTATTAAACACACCAACTAACTATATTATAATATTATTCAAATGCGTGCGTTTTACTAGGGAAACTCAAGTAAATGACGTTAAGTTCGACAAGACTCCCGCTCGCGTCGATTGGCGCGCTTTTAAAATCGTAGTACAAAGGTATATATATATATATATATATATATATATATATAAGAAAAATGGTCTTCGTTTGAGGCTCCTTCACGCCCAAACCACTGATCGTATCGACATGAAACTACTGCCATTCGATGCGAAATTTTTCTCTCCTCCCCGAATGTTTCCGCGGAGGCTTCCTAGAACCTCAAAACGTCAACATCTGTTAAAAACTTGATTTTCGAAAAATTTCAATTTTCTTAGCGGGAAGTTAAAAAGAAGAATAATAAAAATATATATAATATAATAATGAAACATAAAATTTTATTTATTTCCTATTTTAATTCGCAGCGCATTCGAAGCGGGCGGGAAACGGCTAGTATATGTATATGTAAAGTTGTTGTATATATGACATCAAAAAAAACTTACATATATGTAAAGGTATGGATAAGATAAAAACAAAAATGAAATTGCAAAAATTTGAATTTTGACATGCCTTTATATATATAGGGACCATCGATATGCACAATAATAATCACAACGTCATCCACAGCCGTCTTGATACCATGTGATAAATGATAAAACGTCATGAAAAAACCCACGATAAACATGAATTCCAACTAATCCGCACTATCCGTCATGTTAAAGTTATTATATAGACGCTTATAAATACATAAAAAAGCTATATATTTATATAGGTACCATTATAGTTTCATCACCAAATAAGAAAATTATGAATCTTGTGTCTAATCTCCAATAATAATCACATTATTACTTTTATATCTAGGGGTGCACACATTTTTAGCAAACTTGTTTTGATGATAGTAGAAAAATTAATAATAATATACCCTTTTTATATTCCGATGTCATCTGTGATATATTTTTTTTATTTATATTTTATCTCCGAGATATGTACCTACTGTAGTGAAACGAAAAAAATAAATCAATGATCACAGACCAGAGTTTCGGAACAAAAAAGCCTATATTATTAGTAGAAAACTTACGATTTATTACGTTAAGTTAATATTACCGCGTTTTTATATATTTATACATGCCCATTTCAATAACACGTTCCATGCTAACAATGCTGTTATCATAATAATACGTAATTATATAAGGTTGTAGATTATACAAACATGTTTTAAGGCTGGCCGTGAACAAAGAAAAAGAACGTCTAGAAATAGTTTTAAGCTCGTTATCAATTCGTACGTAACCACAAGCTTTATATACTTTCTAGATTCTTTATACTTTTTTTAATTTTTTTTTTATTGATAAAGCTTGCCAACGCTCGGCACACTGAGACATTGGTAGAAACAAACACAAAATACAATTTTTAATGTGACAAGCACTTATAGGCAAACATAGCATACATATATAGAGATCATAAAGAGATTATTAAACAAAACAAACATTACAAAACAAAACAAACATTACAAAACAAAACAAACATTACAAAACAAAAACAATTGCTTATCAAAGAAAAAATTCTGATTACAAAAAACCAAACAAAAAAAACAAAACAATTACTTAGCAAAGAAAAAATTCTAATTACAAAAAAAAACTAAACAAAAGTCCATTTTATACTTTGAGGTGAGCAACTATGTATATCCAGACCTAGCTCGTTTATAAGTATGCTTAATCTGGACATCGGTGAGTACTTTAAGAACTATTAACTTCTCGTGACAAACCGTAAAATTATAAGGTTTTAATAGTTTCGTTTTGTTTTTTATGACAATCTAGTTTTTTTTTTATAGTAGTCACAAATATCATTTATCTTTCTGAAGAAGGATTTTCTTATAAACTCGTCAAATTAATTGCGTCTGGTATATAAACAATATTATGTCATTAAAGTAGTTCCTCGACCGTAAAAGTTGTGAGATCTATGTAATATCAAGTCGGTCAATTTACTCAGTCCCTACTTAAGGGACCTCAGCCAGGTCTTAATTTCGTAATTAACTAACTTCACTCCGGGCCACCGCATGAAATTGTGTAAAGCGCAGATTCGGCCCCATATGGACTCACCTCTGTGCGTTAGCACCCCAGTGCCAGCTCCTTCCACTTGACCAATCCCTTTCCGAGCGGCTTGATTCTTTGGCGTTGCGTAGAGATGTGGGGTCACTCTGCATCTTCTACCGCATTTACCATAGAGAGTGTTCAGAGGAGTTGTTTGGATTAATACCTGCAGCTGTGTTTCATCATCGGACGTCGAGGCAGAATCCGAAATTCCACCCGTTGTCCGTCGTTCCACAACTGAGCGTTTTTTGGAACCAGCCCACTAAAGTATTTCCGGACCAATTCGACTTAAGGTACTTCAAGAAAAGCGCGTATCAACTCTTAAAAGGCCGAAAATGCACTCGCGAGCCCTCCGGAATGGAGAGTGTCCAAGGGCGGCGGTATCACTTAACATCAGGTGAGCCTCCTGCCCGTCCTGTTTTACAGAAAAAAAAACTTAGTATAGTATATGAATTATACTTTTTTTAATCCATCTGCAATCAGTCTCTTTGCTTTTATCTAATTTTATGAAATGATGGCAATTAGGGAACGCAAATCCAATAATTTTGTATTTCCCTCCGTAATTCCTAAACTAAAATTTAATTATTAGACCTGTCAGTTTACTCACGAAAATGTCCTCCAGCAGTTTGAGATAGTAATTCAATTATTACACACCGAATATCTTAAATTGAATTGGTACTGTTGCATTAAAAGTAATTATTGTTTTTGTAGGTCAATAAAACCGAATATAACAAATTCTTTCACGTGCGATACACGCGCTACAATAAAAAAGGCCTAACATTCTCCTTCGGTTGTATAATTGAAAAGGGAAACAAAATAAAACCTTTTAAGTAGAAATTATTATCTAAAAGTGTAAGTCTAGTTCTTGGTTCAAGGTGTATTCAGTGATAGAGTAAATAAATACTAATAAATGAAGTAAAAAAATTTTATAAAAATGTTTAATTAAGTGACTGGCTCCGTGTTCTCCAACATCAAATAGAGTCAGATAGCATACATGCCTTCACTAATACGATTCATACAGAATGTGATAAAGCTAAATTCCTTGGTCTTGGTTACAGATTTTAGTATCTTCTTTCTAATTCTAAAAGATTTCTATATAAGAAAGTATGTGCTCAACCACCGCTCCCTCACGACGAGAAACATCACGGTTTCTTTCAAGTTACTCTACATTGTCCTCTTTTCATGCACTGGGCTCATACAGTTTTACAACTTTGACATGAATGCATTCCTGCTCAAAAACCGCTACAGTTACATATAATTCACAGTCTTACAGCGTGTATAATCGGCCTTCTTTCATTGCACTGGCATTATTTTGGAACATGGCTGATTTAAACTAGTCGTTGCAATACGTTATTACAATAAATGAACTTTTAAACACTCTCCATGGCTACATAAACTAACTTTCTAATATCAAGGGCTAAATGGTTCAAATATAGATGACGTTAGAATAAAAAGTTCTCATTCATATTTGGAATGTTTATAATAAGTTTCTTGTGGTTGCGTTTATCTTAAATCATGCGGTAGTATTATCAGTGATCTGATGTGTTCATTTGATAATGACATCTCGTGGTTTAACGTCTTTTTCATATAGTTTACGCAGTGTTATTGTTGTGAATAGTTGAAAACAAAATGACGTTAAAGGGATGGCGGCTTGTACTCAACAGAGGTAACAATTATTCCAAAATTAATTTTAATTTGTAACTTATGTACTATAGAATTTAAGCTAAGATTGACCGTAAATGATCTCTAATTACTTATATGTAATATATATTGTATACTTTGATAACATTATTATTGTTGTTATAATAATAAGCAATTTTTGAATTGGCGTAGGTATGGTATAATAATTACCAATTGTATTCATCCAATGCATTAATCGCATAAAAGTGATTTTTTTTAGACAAAAAAATAATAAACAAATCTGTGTTGGCCTACTGGCTTTCGAGTGCGACTCTCATGTTTGGGGTTATGTGTGCATGTAGGCTATTTAAGGTGAATTGTTGCACTTATAAAGTTGTTGAACAGAAAATTTAACGATTTAGTTCGGTAAAGAGTACATTGTAAAAGACATTTTAAACTAAATTAATTTAAAACTTTTCAGTGACGTTCATCCCACAGCGCTATGTTATCGGTATTTTGGGATTATTTGCTCTGGCCAACTCCTTCACTATGCGTGTATGTTTGAGCATGACTATAACCCAAATGGTACTACATGTGGCGCCATCAGAGCATATTGTGGGTGAAACTTGTCCAGATCCAGTGCCTACCATGAGTGCCACACCAGAAATAACGAGTAATAATACTGTAGTACTGGATTCTGTGAGTTAATATGAACATTTGTCTTCTATTTTAATTATTGTATATTTTGAGTATGCATCAAAATATTCTGTGTGATAATTAAAACGTGTTTAATTATCACAACCGACTTTAAAAAGCAGGTTTTCCATACGATATTTAATAGGTATGAGTTATTGTTGGAACTATATAATATTAAAGTATCTATTTGCACATACTATATGTCGACAAATTTCTCGAAAACTAATATGAACCATTCCGATTCAAATGACTTATATTTCAACTAAGTATCATCCACCAAAATCGGATATTTGTTATTTATATAATTAAATTCCCTGTAGTTCTCTTAATATCCGTATCCCTGATTTAAGCCCTTGGAAATTTGCGATACAAATGTTACTTACATTCGTCGGCAATTGTTTTTTGTCGCCCCACGAGATAGCAAATTCAGCTCAAAAGACTAAGGTAAAAAACCACCTTCACCCGAAAAGGCATGGAACTTTTCTTCGTACTTCGCTTACTCCAGTGAGCTTTCGTTAGGCCCTTCAGGCGATTGACCACCCCATCACGGCCCAACCGAGGTCTGATCTCGCAGGCAAAGTCGCTAGTCGCGGAAAAAGGCCCATTCCGACCAAGTTACGCTCGCCAAAACAGCGGAGCTGAGATGCCCTTAATTCCAACAGCGAGATTCCGTTAAAAAAATCTTTTTACATATGAAAAGAAACGAAACTATTGCATATATTGATTAAAATGGCCGATATTTATAACGAGCCTAGGACACGCCCAAGGGCACTCATCGCAGCCCATGGATACATTTTTAGTGGGAGCAATGCTTGCGGGTTTTATGTTTATTAATATGTTTATTTTTTATAAGTTTTCATGTTTTGTTTATGTACTACTTTCTGAAATAAAACGTATACTAATAAATCAGTGGTCAAAGAGTTGTGGTAATCTCACTGAAAAAAGTTTGCTTTGTCCAGAAAATTTACAATGTTTCTATACAGGAATGGCAGAAGGCAAATTACTATAGGGTCTACAATATCTACTATATGGTCTCTATAGTTCACGCCTGTTTCCGAAAGACCACAGACCTCTACTTGTTTACCGTCCTTATCTACCTCTCTCGCTTACTCCACTCTCACTCTCACAACGGTCGGTTATGTGTACCTTTGACCTGCTTGCTTGCTGCTTACCTGCTTAGGCATTAATTTCGTGTCCTTATCATTCTACTTCTCTTCTCTCTCTTCTTAATACGCTTGCGAATTTCACTGTTACTAATTCTTGCCCGCAAACTTACCTGGTACATATTACTTACCGATTTAATTTTCAGATTTAAACTACTTACATGAAATGTCTTTATTATAGATCTAAATTTCTCTGAAGTTAAACCTGAACGATGACGTAGCACCTGACTGACATTATCAAGACGTGAAATAGTCCATTGAAATGTTACATTTGCTGAACATTTGTTAGAGGACGCAATTTTATTTATGGAACATGTAAGGGGGGCCAATACAAGCTTAACCTCAAGTTTGTGGGGTTGGCGTGCTTGTCCCCCGGCCGCCATCTTGGATAAAGGGGTTCACGTTTTTGGCTATATCTCCTAAACTACTGTCTGTGAGTTTGTGTCATTGATATCCCTAGTAGGCCTATTCCACAGACAACTTGCTGGTAAGGTAATCTTCGACATAATTATATTATGAATCAGTTATTAGAATAGGGTAGCTACCTATAACTTTTTTACTTATAACTTTTTGAATTTTGGATTTATGATAAAAATAAATCCTATGTTAGTTTAGGAGATATAGCCAAAAACGTGAACCCCTTTATCCAAGATGGCGGCCGGGGGACCAGCACGTCAACCCCACAAACTTGAGGATAAGTTTGTATTGGCCCCCCCTACATGTCCCATAAATAAAATTGCGTCCTCTAACAAATGTACAGTTTGGCCCTCAAATTGAAACATTTCAATGGACTAAAACTGTTATTTTGATTATCCTTTTTTATCATTTATGTAACTGTTATCACATCATATCACACGCTTGATTTTCTTTTTATCTGACACATGAATCATCTCTTACTGAAGATAATGATACAAGTGATGTCACCACTCTCAAGCAGTCTTAGTTGTTTCTGCATCTTTTTTAGCTAATTTTATTTACATCGGACATCGATATCCGGGTTAAATTATTAAGTTAGTAGTAGGCAAAGACTACTTCAAGCCCTTAATTATCGTGGTGAGCCTGCCCGATAGCTTTGAGATAATCCCACCACCTCGAACCTTTGATCCTACCCGTAGGGCTCCGTCGCTTAGGTCTCTTGGTGCAGAAATCCCGTACTTATTTATATATTAACTATTTATGTGTTAGGGTACGTCTGTAGGGCTTAGGGATCCGTAGGGTTGTTAGGTTCTTACATCTCACCCTCTCATATATGTAGTCACTAGTGCAGCTTGTTCATACATACCTTACATATACAGATACTCGTGACATTCAATACCTATAAATTTTAAACAAACATTTTACAGTCCACTGGCTAGCAAGCTGTACAAAGCCTATTTCATGACACTGACGACACGTGCAACCGTAAACTTCTAAATTATATAGCTACCTTAAACATCCTAACGAATATTAATACAAGCTATTGGTTGGTTACCGTCTAGTAGTTTTTCAGTTTATTGCGATCAGACAGACGCGGCGGAGGACTTGTATAATATAATACAAAACTTAGATATAATATGACTCTATAACTTGTCTCTAAAACTTAATATCTCGTTAAAGCAGCGTTCTTAAGAAACGTTTTCTTTTGACCGTTTTTTCTCTTACTTACTTTGCTAATTACTACCACGAAAGTCTTTTCATTTTTAATGTCTAGCTATGATACTCACAAATGTCGTGGCTTTCTACTAGTAAAAGTATTTTTTAAATCTGTTCTGTAGATCCAAGATTACCCCCTACAATCTCACATAATTTACTTGTTTACATTATAATAAAAATAAAATCTTTATTATCAATAATATTACAGGGCAGAGAGAGATATGATTGGGACGAGAAAACGCAAGGATTCCTTCTAAGTGCCTTTTATTATGGTTATGTACTAACCCATTTACCTGGTGGTCTTTTGGCTGAAAAATTTGGCGGTAAATGGACGATTGGCATCAGTTTATTGTGTACATCTATTGCGACTATTATTACGCCCTGGGCAGTTACTGTTGGAGGAGCGACAGGCTTATTTATAATAAGGGTTATAGAAGGTGCTGGTGAGGTGAGATTGGTTATTCATTTGTTTTTTCAGACAGAGAATTCAGATTATTTAGTCTCCTTATGAGCTTTTAGGCCTCCATTAATGCCCATAATAAGTGCTGGTTTACGCACATCTTCTATGTGTGTTCCTAAAACATGGTGGATGCTTTCACGATGTTTTCGCTTGGTATATCAAGTGACAATTGCGCTAACACAAAATAAAATTCATTGGTGGTGCCAGGATACCTTCCCGACAAAAAAGGCCCGTAGGAGGCCCCGATGTGTCCTAACGGATCCGGATGATCCAATCACCGTAGCCAAATAATATTCAAATATTCAAAATCAGATTAGGGTAAAAAACCGCCTGCACCGGGGAAGGCGTGGACTTCGTTCTTCGCTCACTCCAGTGAGCTTCCGTCCTGCCCTTCAGGCAATTGACCACCCAATGACGGCCCCAGCCGAGGACCGAGTTTCTTGCCCTTGCGCTCTTGTGCGAGAAACGCCCAACCGGTCGAGCTATGCTCGCTAAAGGGCCTTTACAGCTCAGGCCAACAGCGAGATTCCATAAAAAAATACTAAACAATTAAGATACAGAGTACATGAGTATATATTTATCATATAACATATGCCTATTACTTCCTCAGGGACCAGTGACACCAGCCTTTGTTTTATTATTGGCTCGTTGGGTACCACCTGCAGAGAGAGCAAGATTCGGTGCAATGATATTTGGCGGAGCACAAGTTGGGAATATTCTTGGGCCTTTAATATCAGGCCTGCTATTAGCCGATGGTGGAGATTGGGCGAATGTGTTTTACGTGTTTGGGGGCCTTGGTATCATTTGGTTTGTGTTTTGGGTGAGTTCATCTGAAGGTACAATAATTTATAGAAATTTTAGAGTGTTATATCAAAAAATATTCCTTGCGGCTTATGTTGAGTATTTTGTTATTGATAATGAATTTTGTATGAGTCACAAAAAGCCTTTATCGCTCGGACAACATCCGTAACAACTTGGCGGGGAGTTCGCTTCGTAAGACAGGTTGATATTAACTGTTATTTCCTTTTATGGCACATATCAACAAACTTATCTAAAAATGTAAAGAAACGAATCTGGTCGAGACACTGCTTCCTTCTTTACATGAAACGAAGGTGTGACAATAAAATCTTAACACACCTTAGTTTTTTTAAAGAAAAGTTTTTCATTTTTCAACTTTTTCTTTTCTTCAATACTTTGTTAACAGCTGTTCTTGGTATTCTTGTGTACCCAGTAGGACTTTCAATTTAAATAATAAAAGATTATTCAAAGTGATAAGAAATAAATGAATATTTTATATAGGAATAATAATGATAAGATATAATAAAACAAAATAATAATATATTTTTATTACTTTTTATTTTTTTGTTTTGTAGTTCTTCAAAGATTATTAATGTGTACTAAACAATTTCCAATAATAGTTCTAAATTCTCAAAACCTCAACGAACTAAGAATATTATTAATATAAATTAAATATTTGTACCTATAGTTGTTTGGTTGTCAAATATAACAAATTCTTCCGATAAATGTATGGTTTATACATGCTTTTTAAATAACTTCGTAACAATAATTTCAGGTATTCCTTTGCTACAGTACACCAAATTTGCACCCATTTATATCGGATGATGAGAAACGTTACCTTAACGAAAATATCGTTGCGTCTGGACTGCACCAAAAGTTAGATCCGGTACCGTTCAAGGTTCTATTGCGATCTGGACCTCTATGGGCGCTTATCCTAGCAGCTGTAAGTAATTATAATGAATGTTTAAAAAAATTCATAAGTTTTAGCATATTCATGTATATAATATATATAAGGCCGGCAACGCACTCGCGAGCCTGGTATTGAGAGTGTCCATGGGTGGCGGGGCGGTATCACTTAACATCAGATGAGCCTTCTGCCTGTTTGCAAATTCAAATTCAAAAATCATTTAATCATAATTATAGGAAACACATTGTACGCTTATGATCGTCAAAAAAAAAGAAATGTATATGAAATGCTTCTAACGTTACATTTAGTGCCAGTGCCCCCTGTTCTATAAAAAAAAAATGTGTGGCACTCGGGGACTGCCGCGGTAAAGCTATTGCATAGCATTTTTTATCAACTTATGCAATTATAATGGTTTATTATTTTTTTATTTATGCAGTATTTTTATTCTTTGATATTAATTCAAGTTTTTTCTTTGATATTAATTCCATAATCTACCACTTTACCAGACTCAGACTAACACGCCTATATAGTCTGTCTCACTATAACGCGTACCGGCTGCACCCGATGTGAGACGTCACGTTACGTCATCGTGTGTTAGGTTATTTTCGTTACGGAATTTCTGGATTCGGTCTCCACGTTCAAGGCCCGTGATAGAAGCTATGCAATAGCTTAAAAAGTTTAACTACTATGCATACAGTCATAATTCTATTCCTACATAGATGTCATATTAGGTGACACCGCGTTCATTCGATTTTATTCATATCCTCTCTATAATTATTTGTTTAATAAGAACCTTTAGCGGGCTATTGGTAAGCGTTTTAAAACATTTGTTCTTTTTTCAGGTCGGCCATGACTGGGGATACTTCACAATGATAACAGATCTACCCAAGTACTTCTCAGGAGTACTCAAATTTAATATAAAGGACACAGGCTTAATGTCAGCGTTACCATACATAGCCATGTATGTTTGTTCGTTTATATTCGCATCGCTCTGTGATTACTGCATACGTAAGAAGTGGCACAATATAACAACAGGAAGAAAAATTTATACTACAGTGTGTATGTATACTTTTTGTTTTGTATTAAATAAAATTTATTTAGAAAAATTAATCCAAAAATGTGTGTAGTCCAGGAGAACGTCTGTCGGGTTCGCTAGTTTTAAATAAAAATCATCTCAAAATCTTCGTAATTTATAGTATTTATATTATTGATTCACAATTATCATTTCCAAAATCTAAAAAAAAACTTCTAGACATATTTTGATGATGATAAAACACGTTTTTTTTCAAGTAGGTTTACAAGGAACGTGTATCGTGCGTTCGAATTCCAACCATGCACGAAATTTCCTTTCAATACGTATTTGACCTTACCCTACCTACTAATATTTTGTCTTTTACAGCCTCAACACTGCCTGCAATATTTATTATTCTGGCCTCATATTCCGGATGCGACCGGTACAAGGCTGTTGGCTTCTTTATCGCTTCAATGGCGTTCATGGCAGGCTTCTATAGTAGCGTTAAAATAAACGCTATGGATATAGCCCCGAATTACGCTGGAACCTGCTCGGCTATGGTGAATGGTCTAGCGGCTGTCTCGGGAATAATTACACCATATCTCATTGGACTGTTGACACCAGATGTAAGTATAATCAAATTAATGAGACTATCAAAAACGCTCAAACAGCAAGAAGATTTCGAATGAAACGAAGCATAGTTTTTCTAAATGGAGTTATAATATTAATTTAAAAAAAGAATTAAAAAATAAAATACTCGACAACTTGTTAATTCCTTTTCGGGTTATTTTTAAGTTGATTAACATAGTTTTAAATACTATTTAAACCTACTTGAAAGTCCCTTAAAAACCTTAAATACCAAGGTTAAATACCATTTTTTTTAGAATGGAATGATTTTTAGTATTTGTATTGTTCAAAAAGATATTACAGGGCTTACATAAATGTAGAATTATAAAATTAGGCGCATTATCATCGTTAACGGTTGACGAAATTTAGGTCAAAGGTTGATAAATGACGCATTCTACCGTAGCTTCTTACAATGTCATTCAAGTTTTTATAATGACAAATGTATAATTAAATAGAAGGTCATTTAAAAATTTCATTTTTAAAAAAAGGAATCATTTCATTTTGTTTCAGCAAACAATATCGCAGTGGAGGATAGCCTTTTGGACTGTATTCGCCGTGCTAGTCGGCACTAACATTATCTATGTTATCTGGGGTACAGGTGAGCCTCAATGGTGGGATGATGTGGACAAATACGGCTACCCCGATAACTGGGATAAAGGACCGCTTAGGCGGCGAAAAGAAGATTCAGAAAAGAATGTGGTGCAGCCGAAACATGACCATCCACCCATGTCAAAAGATTGAAAGTTTTGTTATATTTATTAAATAACTAGTCACATTTTTTGTTTTTATGCTATTGAATTAATAAAAAGCAACTTTTTTAAAACACACTTTTATCGTATCTCGTGTCGTATGTTTGAATTAGAAGCGATGACGGTAAAAAGTAAAAACCAATCTGAAATGACGTACTTTATACGCTCAATATCGAAATGATAAAACATTATGCATTAAGAACTTTGTTTAAAGTGACAACGTAATACCGTTGTAAAGTAAATTGACATCTCATGAAATATTTTATATCAAGGGGTATTCATTAATTTTTTGAAATAGACGCGAATTAAGTTCGGTGGCGTTTGTTGTAGATATGTTCAAATAAATGTTAAATGATACATTTTGTTTGAATCTGGGTGTCAACTTACTTAAATCATTTAAAATATGAGCTTATAGCTAACATAAAATTAGAGGTAGTGGGGTTGCGACGCTGACAAAAAGCTAACTTGGCTTATTTAAGGGTTCTTAAATCTAAGTGACACTTCAATATAAGGATTCAACCTTTTTGGACATTATCGGAACCAAGAATGGTATATTACAACTCATCAATTGATGAGTGTAAGAAAAACTAAGGGGCTCATTTTTGGCGTTAAGTGTGCGATGATTGCTAACATTTGGTTTACCCTTCTAATTATTTACTAAAATATATAAAATAAAATAAATAAATCAGTGGCGCTACAACCTCTTAGGCCTTAGATTTCTGAATCTGTTTCATGATCATTTTTTGAAATCTAATTGGCAAGTAGGTAATCAGCCTCCAGTACCTGACATACACCGTTGACTTTTTGGGTCTAAGACATGTCGGTTTCCTCACGATGTTTTCCTTAAACGTTCGAGCAAATGTTAAATGCGCACATAGAAAGAATGTCCATTGATGCACAGCCGGGGATCGAACCTACGACCTCAGGTATGACGCTGTATCGCGGTATCACGCTGAAGCCACTAGGCCAACACTGCTCACAAAAATGTATACATGTAGGTAACTTAACTAATGTTAGGTTATATAACTCGCGAATTTTTTTAATCTAAGTCACTACAACTTTAGTTATCTGTGCTAACCTCACTAGGTTTACCGGATATGTGATATCGATTTGCCGTAGTTAAGTATGAATTGGTTCTGACAGTGCAATTGCGTATTGTATATAAATTAAGAGTCAGTTACACGTTTCAGCGCCTGAATACAAATTATGACATAAGATTGTAACATTTAGATGAAACATTCAGTTATAAAGACACTTTATTTGATGTTGTGTCAAAAAGGTTTATGTAAAAAGTTCGTATATCTAAACGGCACATAACGTCGCAAGATTTTAGGTACATAATAGGAGTTTACACATGTTATTTTTGAAGTTAAAATTTTGAAAATGACTGCGCATTAAACGTCTTTTGATAATTTTCCGGAAACTTTTGGCTTAAAGTCCTGGATGGGGCAGTGGGCATCCAACAGTGTCTCCATCGCGTTCGGGCTTGAGCTTCGTATTTTACCTCTTGCCTTTGCCTCTTGTCTTTGCCTCATCTGCAACTGTAAATTCCGGAAATTATACCAACAAAGAATTATTTAAAATACCTGGTCAATGCTCCCACATTGATATTCAATTTATAATTATAATATGTATGAGAAAATGTGTATCAAATTAATTTTACGTTTAAATATCGTATGCATATCTTCTTGGAACATTTAAGTCAGTTTTGCAAAATAAAAGCAAAGCATTTTTTACATTGTGTCCTATGTAAACAAGATACACATCGATTAGGTCACGGTGTAAAAATTTTATGATATTCTTAATCTTAACCAAATTTTAGACAATTAAAAATAAAATTACGATATCACAAAACAGCGCCCGTTCTCTGTAACTTCCAGTTGCGACAGCGATTCCGATCCGTTGTTGTATGCAACGACTTTGTAGTTCTTTTAATACCCGTAGCCATACTGTCGCAATCTTGAGATCGCGCGGAACAAAAATGGAACTTGAATTTGGAACTCTGTCGTATTGTTATTGGAAGTTACAGTGTAAGACCTCAGGTAAAATTAAGAAAGACAAATGATGTTAATTCGTCTTACTCCTAAAAGCAGTTTCATCCTCAGACGTAAATAAGCTAACCAAATATTAGCATATTGTACGTATATATAATCTACTGATGAAGTGGACTAAGTAGATACGTCTTCTATCTTTTGATAAATATCTAAGTAGATAAGAAGCAGATGGACAGCCTTTGTGCCTTATTATTTAGTTTAATTTTTAACCAAATTCAAGAACACCGAAATTTGCAATTCGTGTATTTTTTTAAATAAATGACTTCAAACTTTTAATGTTTACAATTAGGGGAGGCTATTTGGTTTTTTACTGACTTCAAAAACCGAACGAGGAAGTTATCAGGTCAACTTGTAATTTTTTTAATGTCAGCTAGCACACACCACGACTTGTAAAATAATTTAATTTTATCGTTTTAAGGAATTAAACTGTCGCTGAGGGCTTATTTTTCTTATATGGTTTTGACACTTGTGCAAACGTTTAAATTCGTATTAACATCGTGGGGAAAACCGTCTCCTCTCCTTTCCTTTCATTTTGTAATACCAGCGGTAATCGTTATAACTTGTTTTTTTATAGAAAGAGCATTTGAGGTTCTCTTTTTGCAGAAATTTGGCGTTAAACTTCAAAAACTCGTACTTAGATAGCGTATATCATTTAGAAGTGTTTTACTTTAGAATCCGTTTTCTAAGTAATACTAATAATAAAAACTTTATTTATGACAAAAGGGTTTGTGACAGAATTCATATATCGCTAGTCCCCACACTAGGGAGGCCCTGTGTTGTGGGTAACTAGAAAAAGTATTTAAAAATTTATTAAATTTATTTAAGTAGTAAAGTATTTCATAGCTGTGTTTTGTACTCAAAAACAGTCAATGTAAAACAAAAGGCTTAACGATTGTACGCTCCATTTTGATTGGTCTTTTGTAGGCTTTCGTTATTGTTTTGTACATGATATATTTTAATTGAAATCAACGATTTTAAAAGTGCAAAGCAAAAATCTACTATCGTGATGCAAATTTGAATAATATAATAATATTATTTAGTTGCTTTAATACTCATATAATATATTTATCTCGTCCCATCGATAGGTATTATTATAATATGTTTTATTGACAATCAATCATTGTTATCATAGTCTTATAGACATTTTTTATCTTAAATAATTTTTATCGAACAATCGAACCGTTATCGAAATCCGAAATCTAAATGTTTCAAATTCAAATAATAACGTTCTCCCAGCCGAGGCCAAGCGTCTTATCTCTTTTGAGACTTGCGCTATACTGCAAGTGTGTATGTGTAAAAACAAATGAAATCTATATTTATATAGGTAACATAATGCACACTTATGTACGTTAATACAAAAATATGATTATAGAAATGACTACATAGTAATCAAAGACATACAACGGACGGAAGGCGAAGAAAATTAAATACTCCACTCTAAAAAGACGGCAACGCACCCACTAACATGGGCGTCAATATTTTATTAAAAAAAGAACTCTCTATCAATATAGGTAACATAATGCACGTATGTACGGCAATAAAAAAAAATATATAATTTAAAAAATTACTAAATAGTAATCAAAGGCATAGAACGGACGAAAGGCAAAGAAAAATAACTACTGCACTCTAAAAGGTCGGCAACGCACCCACTAACATGGGTCTCATCATTTAAAAAAAAAATATCCAACACTACGCCGGTAATCTATAACTTTTAATAGTGATAGCGACGCTTCTGAGAATTTTGTATGAAATTTCGATATACTTCATTGTTTTAATATATGCAGCGCTGTTTCAACCTTGGCGCACGTTACAAATACTCAACGTTGAAGTAGAGATCTCAATCACTTTCGCTATTAGGAGTCACAGAATATGAACTTGTATTCTATAACAATATACTTTCAAGGTAGCACTCTATGCTCCATCATAACCACACAACATATTTAAACATGGCATGCTCATTTTCCAGGATGTTCTCCTTTACCGCCCTTAGAGAAATAAAAATCAATTGCTAATCAGCCACTCTAGACTGCCACTTCTTACAATTTTATATATCAAGTTAATCAAATTATCAATATATTAATTGATCTTAAAAATGGGCTCGGCTTACGACTCTCATTCCATGGATCGTTGGTTCGATCCCCGGCTATGCACCAATGGACTTTCTTTCTATGTTCGCATTCGAACGGTGAAGGAAAACATCGTGAGGAAACTGGATTGCCTCTAAGACTCAAAGAGTTGACGGCATGCGTCAGGCACAGGAGGCTGATCACCTACTTGTCTATTAGATTGACAAATGATCATGAAACAGATAGGTACAGAAATCTGAGGCCCAGACCTAAAAAAGGTTGTAGGGCCACTGACTTATTTATTTTTATATCTTAAAAATTGAAACAGTATAAGGTCATAGAAATAAATATTTCGTTCTACAGTTCATGATTAACATACTCGTCAATTATGAATTATATTGTATTGCACTATAAAACAGATACAGATAAGAAACGAGCGACGCGAATGGGATTAATCTGGACAAATATTTCAACGGTCCATAAACAATAAATCTAAGTTCCAATGGATTTCTGCTGTAGTACAAAGGTGCTGAAATACATAAAAAATAGTGATAAATAAGTAATTAAATTAATGAATGCGTAACCATGTAGAATAGCGTTCTAAAATCACATAACATTCACATCGACCGTGACTTTAACTTAAACTGAGAGCTGTCACTAGATCATGCGCAGGAGTCAGTCTGTGTGTACGTTTCCAACGTTCTTGTGATTACGGATAAAAATATTTAAGTGTAAGTTTTTATTATTTTTATATTTAATTCTAACCTTTGTTTTATATAAGATAATACTTTTTATGTGTGCATAATATGCAGTTTTCATCTAACTTAAATAATAATTATTAGGAATCTATAAACTATTGTAATGGAGTTTAT